TTCTTGTTTGTCCTTACTTGCTTGAAGGGTTTCAAAGGTCATCCATTTAAGGCTTCTCTTTCTTTTTTGGCTGCAGATAGTGTCCTTTGGCATTTCTTCCTGACAATGTCCCTAGCTTCAACCAGAGTTCTTTTGGTTCCCAGTGAATTTGGCTTAATAGCACAAATTTATTTTTTACATTATCTTTAAATTCTATGGAGATATAGTTCAGGTTGTATTTTGGCACAATGTTTTGTTTAGTGTTCTTTAGTTTTATTCTAATTGTTTATATTAGCAGTTCATGGTCTGTGTCACATCTGTTCCTGGTCACGTACCATGTTCCTATAATATGTATTCTGCAGCTTCAGACTTTCTTTTTACCTCTGAGGATATTAACAATTGAATGTACTTTTTAGTTTGACTTTGGAGCTTCATCTTCTGACACTATCTCTTGTTTCATTTTGAGTTGACTCATCATAAGATTTTTGTGTTAAAAGCTATTCTACAATTCTGTATGGGTTAGATAACTTATCATGTAATCCCAACATTGTGGAAAAAGGGTGACATTGGTGAGATTGAAATATTAGACAATGAGGTAAGAAATCAATCTGAATATTTCAAAGAATGGGGTGTGGGAATTTGTTCCAAAGCAGAAAATACTACAGTGTAATAAAGAATAATCGCTGCCACTTATTTCATCAGAGTTGCAAAGATAATTGGCTATTAGCTATTTTGCCAGAAATAGCTAAAACAAACAAATAAAGAAATAAACCAAAGAAATACTATTCTATATTCTGCATATTAATTCAAGATCTCTTGGATAATTTTTTCCTAATATTTATTTTTTTAAATAAAATGAAATAACTGAAGAATAGCTGAAGAAGGAAAGCACTCAAGGGCATTTGTTAGGTTATGATTACTACATTCTGCAAGTAATACATATTAGGATGATGTAATATGTTCCCAGAAGCCTTCCTCTATTTTAAAAGAGCACCATTTTCATTATTCATTTGAAGGGCATCTCCAATCAAACATTGTTACAGTGCTTTTAACCAGCAAGCAAGACTGATGTATCACAACTAGCCATTTAATATATACTAAGTGACTGTATGTTGATTGCTATTGATCATACTTACTACAGGACTTCAAACAGCAATTAAATTTAACTGGCAATTAAAATCCATACATTTGTGTTACTTAAAAAACTTTACAGTTTAAAGCATACACAGGTCTCTAGAGTGAATCCCCCTTTCTATCCCCCTTCCCCAAAGCATCTATGAAATGGTAAGGCATAGTGCAGTTTAAAAGAGATTCACAATCTCCTATTTCTCATGCAGTCTGTGAAGTGAAAGCAATCTGATGAAAGTGTTAGAGACTTAATTTCTAAGAAGGAAGGGCAGGAGGTTCTATATTCCTTGTTGCAGTTCCACTTTTATTTTACAAATACACACACTTAAAAAGCCTGATGTTTGGAATAGTAAAATAGTTATTGGATTTGGGTCTTGTTCTGAATCAGTCTAGTCTGTACAGCCACCGATTCTATGAAGGTATATTATTTTTAGACAAGGAGAAAAAAGGGAGAAGGTTTAATGCTCTTGCTCTAAAATCCACTGTTATGCCTAAAATCTAGAAAATGAGAACACTGCCTTTTTTAGGCTCAGTGTTGTGAGTGATTTGTATTTTTAATTCAGTCTTTTCAATATGAATGTAAGTAGGATTTTTACAGTTTCTTTTCCTCAAAGTGCCACAGCCAGTACACAGTGTAGACAGAATTGACTCACCAACCGTATTTTTCTCATTACACCCACTCTTCCTGTTCCTCTCCCCAAGGGCTTTAGCTGAAAGCTGAGTTTATGAAAGAAGAAATGCTATACTATGAGGCTTTCAGAAAGCCATGCCCAGTTTCAATTTCATTCACATTTTACTATGAGGGAAGGGTACTCTTTATGTTCAAAGTTTTCAAAAAGAGACACTTCTCCCAAACCCTAGAAGATGTCTTATGACAGCTGTTTATCTACTTAGGCCAGTAACGTGTATTCTGACCTACAGGGCTCAATCTTAATGCCTCATATCATCTCTGAAACCCTTTCACACTATAATGATAACAGCCATGCTTATATCCTACAGAACTCTGTACAAAGAGGGATATTTCGAATGCAGAGGAACTGGATTGTGGCCCCACCTGAACTGCCAAATAATGCAGTTTGAAAGAGCATTATACGGCCAGTGTAGACTCATATAATTCAGTGCATTGCAGTTAAATTGTATTATATGAGTCCACACTACCATACAATGCAGTGTCAAGCTGCATTATACAGTAGCGTAGATGTGGCCTGTGCCAATCATGGTCCTGAAACCCCAGTCACGCAGAAGTTCTCTGGTCATTTGTATTGATGTATACTGTATTGATATATATAATACGTGCCAAAAACCCTTCTACATTCTGCACAACAAAAATGCATTCTGTAACTGGTAGAAATTGCATGCTCTAATACATTGCCTAATATACACTGCTTTTTAAAAATCATGAAGTACAACTAAGTACAATAGGTATGAAACCCTGTAGCTGATTAATGGATCATCTCTATTCAGCTTTCACCCAGCCCAAGATATATGATTGAGGCTTTGTGAATCTCCACTTTCATAACCTTTTCAAAACTTTTATCACCATTTCAAGCTCTTTCAGAAACCTGTAGTTCTCTGAATGTTGAAATGTGTGCTTAAAACCAGTATTCACACAGACAGGTAGAATATACATGGCTCTGTACATTGATTCCAGGACTTCAAATAGCATTTAATGGGATAGAACATATTGTGAGGCTACTAACAAAATGGCTGCAATACAATAAAGAAGGAACAGAGAAGCACATTTCCAGGTAGAAAATGAGCAGCTAAAACTTCCCCCTTTACCCTGCAAAGATGACTGATGGCAGCTCTGTTGGACTAACAAATTCTCATCTGCTAGCTATGTTCAATCGACAGGAAACTCATCAATCTGTGCTGATGGAAGTCCAAATAACAACAGACAAAAGTGAGTCAAATTCGACAAAAAAAAAAACAACAATTTATGTTTCTCCACTTCTGTGCATTAAAATATGTATAATATGCTTCCAAAATGCACATTTTAGGTGTTCTAATGATTAATAAATTGTGAACTAATTTGCTATATATTGTATGACTGAAAACTGCTGTGCTGTACTTCACCATTCAGTAACCCTGATATTCCATTTGGCAAGATTTCATTACATTATTGCATACACTATGAATATGTCAACCTCAAGTATATGTCAAAGGTTGGTTCTTGGGCTAAAATTATGTATTTTGATACAACCCATGGGTAAGTTGATGGTAATTCCTGAGAAAGGGGAAACCTCAGTAGACCAGCTTATCTATCCATTCACAAAGGCCAGAAGCAGAGTCGCAATGGAGAGAATAGAAGGGATTGGTGCTTGTCTTGGTTCACCCAGGGCAAACTAAGCTTTCATCTTTTGCCACTCAGAGAAGGGGATGGTTCCCTTTTTAAGAGTTATGGTACAACATATACACTGATGTCGTCAATAAGCTGCTGACCCAGGTTTTTGGGGCAAATTTTCTGACTAAAATTTCTACACTTATATATGTTTAGATACAGTATACTTAAGAAAAGACAAGGCACAACAGTTAGTTTACTCCCTTGCCAATCTTTATACAATACATACTTCATATAAAAACTAATTTAGCCAGAAATATGCCAGAATTACATGTATTAAAATATAAGCCTTTCCCCCTTGCACACAATAAAAAAACCACCATGCCATGAGGAATGATTAATTAACAGCAGACGTGGCACGGTGAATCTACAGGTTTGTTTTCCTAGCAGCAAGCATATGTATAACCTCTTGAACAAAGAAGACCTTTTCTGTAATCTCTCTTGTTCTGCTATACATTCTGAAACAACTTGTAACAGTCAGTGAACGACTGCCATGCAGTGGCACTGTTTTGGAACTGCGCGCCAAAAAACAAAGGCAATTTCTCTGTCTCTTCAGAAAATATCAGGAACCTTTGCACAACAGTAGCTATGCTTATTCTTGTCAAAAACAAATCACAATGTCTGCTTATTAAAATGTAAGCTATGAAGCAGTACTGTTAAAAGGATGCACCATGTGAAATCTGGGTATCTCATGACAGTGCTAGCTTTTTCAACAGAATACATATTTTAATAGTTTCTGTTATAGCCTGTTTTAAAAGCAAATTCCACTGTAAAATCAGACAAAATTGGGAATTTGATTTTGTTGTTGTTGGAGCAGCCAGACAATCTTGAACATTGTTAACCTTCAACCTCAACATGCAAATGAATCATACGGTTGCCTTTTCAAGTCTTCAACACTCACATTCACTCATAGCAGGCATCAAATTACACCAGACTGTCTCATTATTCCTCTTACAATGTTCTTGTGCACTTTTCCACTTCAATCCACTTTAAATGCTGTTTCTGCCTCCTGCAGAATTCTGAGGCTTGTAGTTCAGGAAGGCCCAGGGTTTCTCTGGATGAGCAGTTTATAGGCCCCTCCTTAAACTACAAAGTCCAGGATTCTTTAGGAAGAAGTCTTTGGTGACCCAACTATCAAGAGTCTGCTTGGGTCACCAAAGATTTCTGTTTTTCTTTCCTAACTAAAAATGTTTAAACACCACATTTGCTTCGAATGGCTCAGGCTACTGTTCTTGGTAGTCATTTTTGAAGGGTAACCTTTATTGTAATAGCTGAATTACTCATGAAGATATATATGTGTTAACATAAACGGCTCTTTTGTCTTGTTCAAATCACCTAGTTGGGAAAAAAATTCAAGTCGTCATATCTTTCAGGTATGGAAATATATTATCAATAAGATTAACATTATTGTGACCAATGATAAATATCAGTTTCTGATTAATTTCTCTCTCATTGCAGACTGTAGCATTATATTTTTCTTAGAGAAATCAAACACAGGCTCTGTTGCCCCTATCTAGTATTTCACCCTAGCAAATGGCAGAAAATTTTGTACCTTCCTAAATTTTTCCATCTGCTTGTAAATGTCAGGATCTAGCTCTTGAGAGACATCTTTCATCCACAACAAAGCTCCTCGATATTCAGTCCGACATTGTTCCATTCGGTTAACTGTCAACCATGTATCAGAGATGGCTTTGTATCTGAAGGTCTCCACCTCTTGATGTAGTCTGCATAAAGGACTGCGTAGTGTCAACCTGGGACAAAAAGCAAAAATCATAGGCCATAAATAGAATAGGAACTTTAGGGACTCTTCTGAAAACAAAAACAAAAAACAAACCAAAAAGAGCTGTTATACTTCGAATGCCAAACCAACCAACCACATGAAAGAAAATGGCAATAGAAGCAAGAAAAATTAGAACACCCAAAAATCTAATGTTTATTTCTCACATAAACACTACAGACAATGAACTTCACACATTATTTCTGTATGACTGACATAATTAATTTAGCTGATTCCCCTCCTCCCAAATTTGCAGTATTCTTTTGTTGTTGCTTTCCCTTCTATAATCATGATAGAAAATGCTAAATAAATCATAGAAAAGTTCAGCTGCATTGAACGGGAAGCAAAAGAATGTTTCAATTTCACAAGCAAGAAGATGAATGACAGAATGTAACTCTTAGTTTTTGTTTTATAAGTTATTAATTGCTCGTTTGCTTGGCATACTGCCTTTACATTTATTTAATTTAAAGCAGGCAGTTCTGAAATTCCAGTACTTCAGGGGGTGTCTTCTAATAGAGCAACCAAGAGGAACCAATGCTGATCAGCTGACCAACGTAACGTTACTACCTGTAAAGTCCCTGGATCTTTCATCATAAAGAATATACATTTTTGTAATATTTTGCTTCTCATGTCTCAACTAAAATATTAGAAATTGCTATCTTTCTTACCAATCAATTATTATGTGTTGTCAACTGTAACATCATCAAAGTTTGAACTTTTCCTTCTGAGTTTGTAGAATGGTGCTTTGGCATGAGATTATCTAACCCCTCTCTCTATTTGAATTTAGTCAGTTAAATAAGTACACACATACCCACTTGCCCTGAGGTAAATCCTAGAAACAGAGAATAATCAAGTCACCAGCAAACAGCCCTATTTAATTTGCACAATATGTCAATGAGGGGGATATTTAATATGTCACCAATTATCAGCCACGTGGATTACAGGCAAAATCTTCAGGTGGATGAAACCACTCTAGTTGAAAGGAAGCTGAAGTCTCCATGGATGGTTTCTGCAATATGGCACCTATTCCACCCAGAGGTGAAAATAATTCTTCTAAATATACGCTTTGACAGCTCTTGGAACACACTACTGATTGCTATGGTTACTCTCTTTCTTTCTTCTGACATCTTCTTCCTGGAGTTACAGCATACCATGAATGACACAAATTCACTCACCATTTAAAAGTGGAGCAGAACTACTTTAAGAAAAAAATATATGAGGATGACTTTAATACAGAATTCCAACTGGTGAACCCATGGATAACCTAACCAGCATTTACTCTGAATAATTCAGAAGAAAGGGATAGATTGATCTCCCCGAACAGAAGAGATACAAAGAACTCTTGATTTATTGATCTTACATTTCTTGTGTTGCTGGTTCACAGGTAATTTATATTAAAGTATACTTGATAAGACTGGTTTTGAAGTGAACCGTTGTACTCTGTGTTAAGCTACTGTGTTCTGGAAAAATAATATTCTATAAGCACACTTGTACCTCTTCAGGCTTAAGTCCCTAATAGGATCTCTCACAAGTGCATCTTTAGTCTACCAGTCTAGGGATTTCTTCATTTTAGGAAATACTCTGTAACTGTGGGCAATCTGAGGCTAGTAGTAAAAATAGTAACACTGGTGTAGTTTTGCACAAGACTACAAGCAGACTATTAACCCATTTGGAATCTGAGTGTTTAAATATTAAGTTGTGGATGCAGAGGAAACTGTGTCTAGAATTACAGTGAGGCAAAAACTCCTAGATCCCAAGATACACAACTTTCTTTGTCAGAAAGTAAAGCTGGAAATGAGCAGGTCTACATTCTGTTTTATTTGTTCTGGCTTTTAAACCAAAAATAAATAAATAAATAAATAAATAAATAAATGGGAATGAACTGCTTTCTATTCCATCTGTTCTATCACTAAATGAGAAGCAATACAGAACAGGCAGGAAATAGAGTGACAAGATAACAGAGAGAAGATGGAAAGAGAGTTTATATTAGTGGTTCTTAACCTGTGGGTCCCCAGATATTTTGGCCTTCAACTCCCAGAAATCCTAACAGCTGCTAAACTGGCTGGGATTTCTGGGAGATGTAGGCCAAAATACCTGGGGGCCCACAGGTTGAAAACAATTGGTGTATATGATGTAGTGGTCAGAATATTGGACTACGATTTGATAAAACACACATTGAGATCAATGTTTAAATCATTGAGCTCTTGTTTAGTAATTTCTGCCTTTTCTGATAGGAAATGTTGGAAGACTGGAGAAGAGGAAAGCTATGGTATTGCATTAAAAAACAGAGCAGGGCTACTACAAGCTATTCCAGACACTTTATTTCAATAATGAAATCCACTCTAACATACCTTTGCTGAGAAGAAAAGCAAAAGGCTTTTCCTGTGGCTTGCATCATCTTGCCTGCTCTAGTTTTATCCTGAGAACCTTGGAATCGGAGAAATTTTCCTAATTCATTTTCTTCATGAGACATAACTAAGATTTTAAAAAGAGAAAACACAAGTAAGCTTCATAAGTTATTTCTACATATGGTAAGATTACAAGAAACAAAAAACAGGCAAACATAAAAACACACCAGAAATTTCAAAATGCAGCTCATGCAATTTTGAAACAGAAGACTGGAATCACTTTAGCACATCCATTTATGAACTCAGTGTAATGTAATAGGAACTGTAAGATGACCTCTATGCTGAAAAGGGAACAGTGATGGGTTTTATTGTTGCTGCTTGAATAGAGGTACATGCACAGTGGGATCAGACTACAGGGTTAGTCAAAATGAATAGGCCAATAAGAAAATTAATTTTAGACGAATGTATGTTTATTGTAACCAAACTACAGCTACGTAGCGACAGATAAACTATCAAAGTTTTGTCTCACCTTCAGAGATGTTCGATATGGGCGCCCCGTGTGACACGGCAGATGTCCAAGCGATAGTCCAGTTCATTCCACATCCGTTGCAGCACATCCGACGTAATGGCATCGAATGCAGCAACGTCTGGGAAGGTGTTCGTTGAGGTCCTAACCCTAACCCTAACCCTAACCCTAACCCTATCCCTAACCCTAACCCTAACCCTAACCCTAACCCTATCCCTATCCCTAACCCTATCCCTAACCCTAACCCTAACCCACCTAACCCTAACCCTTGAAATTCTCGCTGGACCGTAATTACTGACATTGTTTTAGCAAATGTCATCACACAAAACGCCTTCTCTTTGCTTGATTCCGCCATTTTGAAAACAGCGACCCCTAGCGACGCCTAGCGGCATTAACGTACATGTATGTTGCTCAAAAAAAACTTTGATAGTTTATCTGTCGCTACGTAGCTGTGGTTTGGTTACAGTAAACATACATTCGTCTAAAATTAATTTTCTTATTGGCCTATTCATTTTGACTAACCCTGTACTATGACCTGACCACAATACCTAGAATTTCCCTTGATTACTTTAGATTCTATTTCAATTCTGTGAGCCTAATTCTCAAGTGACAAGATATTTACATGACTCTAATGATCCTGAGGGCTGATTTCAACAACTTTGCCCTTTAATTACATTCCCACTGTTTAAAATACTTGCACAAGAGTTTTCTTATTTATAATGTTTAATCCTTAAAAGTTTATATTTAAATTGGGAAAGCATTTGAATGTATCCGTTCTGGTAATTTGGTTAAAAGCACGAAGGAACAGATCAGGTAATATCTCTCAAGATTAGGGCTACCAATGAGGCACCAATCAAAATTTACACAAGGCATACATGTTAAGCTGAATAGCAGAGGAAAGGAGAACAGATCTTTACTCCTCCTTTCAAACGGCTTTCCTGTGCTTTTCCTTTGTGTGCAGAGTAAACTATGAGATTCTCCTTTATTTCTTCCCTACATTGATGAGAAAGCAGCTTGGAGTGGAAACTGAGAGCATATGTAACATGAAAGAGGAAGGCAGAGTAAATAGCTGCCTACAAACTACTACAACCAACTATAGCTTTTAAGGATGCTTTTCAATTTTTTAATTAAAAAATGTCAGACAACATGACACATGAACTCTTTAACATAAAGTATGCAACGTTTTCATCATGTTTTGTAAGGGATAGGTAGTTTGGTACCCTACAAATGTTTTGGATTACAGCTGGCAAAAGCCTTAGCAGCGATGATCCGAGATTGCATGTCCCTCCTCCACCAAATGCTATAATTGTTACATCTTCCTACATGATTTTTTTTTCCAGTCAAATTAGCTTTAAAGCCTGAGTTGATAATAGTGTAAACTTGAAATCTTGTTAGTGCTTTAACCTGCTTCATAACAAATTCTTTTTTGCTGCTCATTAAGATTGCAACTATAAACATGTATTCAAGAATGGAACTACTGACTGCATAGGGAAGCTGATGAGGAAACATAATATACAACTATCGACAGACCCACTAATAAAATCCAACAAATGCTACATTCAGCAAAGGACAAGAGGGATCTTCTCACTTCTGCAGGAATCCACTGTATACCATGCAGCTGTGGACAAGTCTACATAGGGACCACCAAACGCAGCGCCCAAACACGAATCAAGGAACATGAAAGGCACTGCAAACTACTTCAACCAGAGAAGTCAGCCATAGCAGAGCACCTGATGAACCAGCCTGGACACAGCATATTATTTGAGAACACAGAATGCTGGACCACTCTAACAACCACCATGCCAGACTACACAGAGCAGCCACTGAAATCCATAAGCATGTGGACAATTTCAACAGAAAGGAGGAAACCATGAAAATGAACAAAATCTAGCTACCAGTATTAAAAAAAACCTCTAAAATAACAACAGCAAAACAACACTCAAATACAGGGAAACTCCAGAGAGGAAACAATCAGGGACAGCTAATCATCTCTCAACTAAAGATTCCCCCAGGCACTAACAAGCCACACCAAAAACCTGCCAAACCATCAAATGCTAATCAAGGCGGCCAGTTAATAAATAATAATAATAATAATAATAATAATAATAAAACTTTATTTATACCCCGCTACCATCTCCCCAAGAGACTCGGTGCGGCTTACATGAGGCCAAACCCACAATACATCAATAATAAAAACAATAACAACAAGTAATACAAAACAATAACAAATAATACAAAACAATAAAAATAAAACTCCTAACAGAAAATAAGTAATGAACATTAACAGTAACACAACGACGTTTAAAAACCTATGGCTGGGCCAAATGTAATAATTAAAATTTAGAAATAATGCTGAGCATGAACAGGTGAAATATGACTAGGATAGAGTTTTCAGAGAGGCATGGGCACTCCTAGATCAATAATAAAGTGCATTTAGAAGACATATTGCTGGGAGTTTCCTTATTCTGGGAAGGCACATTGGAACAACCACGTTTTCAGGCTCCTCCTAAAGACTGCCAGAGTTGGGGCATGCCTGATGTCCTTGGGGAGTGAGTTCCAGAGTCGAGGGGCCACCATCGAGAAGGCTCTCTCCCTCATCCCCACCAATCATACCTGCGATGGAGGTGGGAGTGCGAGCAGGGCCTCCCCAGATAATCGAAGGGATAGTGTGGGTTGAAACATTCACGCCTAGCTCCAACAGACAAGAGTTCTTTGCCCCACCCCGGCCATTCCACAGATATATGAACCCAATTTTCCTAGCTTTGATAGACCTCAAAAACTCTGAGGATGCTTGTCATAGATGCAGGCGAAACGTCAGGAGAGAATGCTTCCAGAACATGGCCATATAGCTTGAAAAACCTACAACAATCCATGGAAAATTACTGTTTGGCTCTACAATTCCCAGATTTCCCCAACTAGCATTGCCAGATTTCAGGATATGTAGCCTCCAAAACTATTGCTTCCAAGCTCTGCATTGAGAGCAAGCATTACTGAATGGAGAAGACACACAAATAATTTGTACTTTTAAGCTGAATACAAAAGAACATGAAGCTCACCACAACTAAAAAATACTTACAAAAAATCCTTTTTTGATATAGTTCAACTGCTTTAAGTAAATCCATACATGTCCTCTGAATTGAATGGAACAGCTGAAATATATAATGCAAACTGCATAAATAAGAGGACATGTCCCCCCCAATATAATAGCATACTAAACAGAGTTCTGATTAATCAAAATACTACCCCTTACATTATTAGTCTTTGTCCTATGGTTAAGAAATTACCAATTTTCTCACAAATGCAGCAGTTTCCAAATCACACATAAAATCACAAATGCATCAATCACACATTACATGGGTGCATTTATTCTGCAGAATTAATGCAGTTTTATATCATTTTTACAGCCATTGCTCAGTGCTCTCAAATCCTGGGAGTGAGGCACCAGTACAATTTGGCAAAGAAGGCTAAAGATCTTGCAAAACTACAATCCCCAAGATTCCATAATATAGAGGCATTACAGATAAAGTGATTTCAAGCTGCATTAATTCCACAGTGTAGAGCAGGAATAGGAGAATTTTGGCCTTCCAGGTATTTTGGATTTCAACTCTCAGAAATCGAACCCAGCTTACCAGCTGTTAGGAATTGTGGAAGCTGAAATCCAAAAGACCTGGAGGGTTGAAGTTTGCCTATGACAAGCTATGATAAAAATCACTTTCAGAACAAGTGCTATATATGACAAAGGAAAGAAATAATTTGGTTTTTCTATAAGAGGTATGTATCCCTTTAATCCAACAAGTCAAGTAGGTTCTACTACCATATATATCTTATCAAGATTTTAAGTGCAAGTCATTAATTGTTATTGTAGTATGGCCTACAAAAAGGGGGCTTTATATTACCTATACAGTATATAAAGCCACTGTAAGTGCTGTGTTATTTCTAATTAAGTGGTGAAGGCAAGTGTGGGTAAAAAAAATAGGAGGGAGCAAAATTATAAAGCCTGGTTCATGCTAAAAAGGTGATTTTTAAAAACAGGATACACCTTATGGCTGTTTTGCATATTACGTTTAGATTTGCTATCTACTGAATACATAGTAATTTTATGAGTATATGGTACACTTAGATCTGCTATAAAATATTGTGTATTCGTAAACACAAATTAGGTTTATACTTGAAATCAACATATAAAGTAACTTTAAAAGTCCACAAAAAGCTACTCTCAGTATTTAGATTTCGAAAGCCAATTACATGGGGGGAAAAGCACAACGTGAAAAGGATATCTTGATTCAAAAGACAGGTTATGCTGGATTTTGAGCAGGTGAAGAAGGTTAAAGAGCTCACTGTACAAGTCTTACAAACTGTTCATGGGGAAAGGTCCACACATACCTCCAGCTTTGCATCCAAATCAGCATCTGAAGCCACTACGTGTTCATCCTCTTTCTTTCCCGTAACTTTGATAAGAGTTTGTTTTGTTTTCCAGTATTTCTGCTGTACTTTATTGACCACAGACTTTTCTGGACCTTGGGCATACCGATCATAAAATTCCCTTGAATAACCACTAAAAGGTAAAAAAAAAGAAGATTAAAATTGTAAGGCAGTCCTAAATCATACAAAATCAGATAGATTAGCCTGATTCAATATTTGTGTATTTACACTCCTTGAACTTGGGTTTATACTGTTTTACACTGACTTGCATTCTTTCAGCTGTGTATACTTAACTCATATGGCCTTTCCAAATATACAGTTTTGAATGATCCATTATACTACCAGTGAAGTTTTATCATGAATACAGGTGTGAAAAGACAATGTCTTAATGTGCTATGATTCACAGAGACAAATGTACACAAAACTACTTACTATTTGTGGCCATCCATGTTTTCTTATTTTTCTCAAACCCTAAGAATTAGAAAAACAAATCAAAATTAAAATGATTCTTTTGATGAATCCATCATAAACTTCTGAAGTGGACGTATATCTACAAATTAATTCAAATAAATAACAATGTGAGTTTCATGTGCATTTGAGTTCATCCAATGAAATATAGAAATAGTCTAGCATTAAGCAAAGGCATGCAAGGAAACACATGTTTGCATCTTCTGCATTGCAACTTCTGAATGCCTGATTTATATTACTCTATGACAACTAGTTCTCTCTCTCTAAAACTACACACAGTAATTCATAAGTCATTGCAAATATGTACTGTGACATGATACAGTTCCGTCACCTGACCACCTGACATTTCTTCTCTCCAAAGTGACAAATTGCAATTTGTGTGCAGCTTTTCCAAAAAATAGAAGTTTGGTTTTGGAGTAATCTTTATTTTACTGTTACTTGTGGTTCAATTCCCTTTTTTTTTTTTTGTATGGGAATTTATCTGGGAAGAGAAACCTCTTAAGCAGCGCTTCTCAACCTGGGGGTCGCGACCCCTTGCGGGGTCGCCGAGCCATTTTCTGGGGGTCGCCAAGGCTCCTCGGTTGGCCCCGCCCCTTCTGCCTCTCCAAAACGGCTGCCGGCCATTGGTTGGCTCCTCCTCCTTTTTCCACAAGGCTGCAGGGAGTCAGGAGGAGGAGCTTGGAGGCAAAGGCGCGCGCGGCAAAAGGACAACAACCCAGCTGGGTGAGAGAAAGGAGAAGTCAGTGCCAAGCGAGCTCTGAGAGGAGGAGAGGAAGGGGTGCATGGTTGCTGTGTGGAGAGGGCGCCACTTGCCTGTGCTGTGCTCTCTCAAGAGCTCTTTCTGGGCGCTTGCCTTCCTCCTCTCCCACGACAGCCTAGTTTCCCACTTCCTACCCCAGCCTTAACTCTCCCCAGTCCCCCTCTCCCACTTTTCCAGCTCCCTTTGCATCCCAGCTTTTCCCAGGTTCCAGCCTGTCTTCCCCATTTTCCTATCTTGCTGCTTGTCCCACTCAAGTCTTCCCCAGACCCCTTTCTCACTCTCCATTCCAATCTTTCCAGCCTTCCAGCCAACATTCTGCCGAGGGGAGAGGGATTGGGGTTTTTTGGGACCCAGGACTCCCGAGGAGCTGCCTGGGGGAGATTGCAACATGAGCAAGACTGGGGTGCAAAAGGGATTTTGCACCCAGACTTGCTCATTTTGCAATCTTCAGGGAGCTGCTCTGCTGCTGGCTCTGAAGAGGAAGGGGAGCAGGAAGGCAGCCGCGCTGGGTCCCTAAAACCCCCAGTCCCTCTCCCTTTGGCAGAATGTTGGCTGATTTGAAGTGGAAGAAGGGAGAGGGAGAAGCAGGACATGCCTGCTGGGTAATGTAGTCTCTTTCCCTCCAAGGCAGCTCCTGTTCCTTCAGGAGGCTGGCCCCTGCTCAGATTCTGTGTGTCCTGAAGGAGGGAGAGAGGAGGAGGAGGAAGGGTTGCCCCCACTAACTTCCCAAGGGCAGAAGCAACCTGTGAGGCAAAGTGGAGATCTGGCTTGGCTCCTCCTTTCTCTCTCTGTCTCTGCAAACATCCTTTTCCCAGAGAAAAACAGCCTTGAAGGTGAGCAGAGGGAAGAGCCATCCAGTCACACTTCCTGCCACTTAGAAGCACACAATCAAAGCACCCCCGACAGATGGCTCTGCATAAAAAAGCCCAGAGTAGAAAGGAGACTCCACCATGCTCCAAGGCAGCATATTCCATTACTAAACAGCTTGGTTCCCCTCTTTTCTCTCCTGTCTTTTGAGGAAAAGTTGGAGCCCCTTTGTGTCTCTTTAAGGTTCCCAGAGGGGGAGACTGGGCTGGTGGAGGTGGGGATTGCCATGCTCTATTTAATATTATTATTGTTATTATATTTATTATTTTACTCTGTTATTATTACATTATTTTATTCTATTGTTATTATTACATTTATTCTACCTTATTATTATTATTATTATTACATTTGTTGTTTTAATCTATTATTGTTGTTATTACATTTATTATTCTACCCTTACTATTATTGTTATTACATTTATTATTTTAATCAATCATTGTTATTATTACATGTATTATTTTACTCTATTTATTATTACTGGAAGGATATGTACTGGTAAGCACATTTACATTGAAGAAGGTTAGAATAATGATTTAATCAGAGTTAGACAGTTTTAAATTACAGTTTTATGTAAATATTAAAAAACATTTAAACTGCTGATGCCTCAATTAATGTAATTTTATTTTTATTTTTGAAATTTGCCAGTAACTGCTGCATTTTGCACTCTTGGCTTATATAATAAATGTAATAATATCAACAATAATAGATTAAAACAATAAATGTAATAATAATAATAAGGTAGAATAATAAATATAATAATAACAATAGAATAAAATAATGTAATAAGTTTTCCGAGTTTTTAATGGAAAAATTAGGTGCCTCGGCTTATATTCGGGTCAGCTTATACTCGAGTATATACAGTACATTACAATTCATAACAGTAGCAAAATTACTGTCATGAAGTAGCAACGAAAATATGGTTGGGGGTCACCACAACATGAGGAACTTAATTTAGGGGTCACGGCTTTAGAAAGGTTGAGAACCACTGCTCTTAAGTATCATATAGTATTACATATACTATATATATTGAAGCTGTATTGGCTCATTGTACGCCTTAGATATTATGTTACTAGAGAACTTAAGCAACTGCTGTTCATAATAAGCTTAAATGAGAAAATAGGCCTTTCACTTTGAACACTGTTGTCATATTTAAGGAAGCTCTCTATGTAAATCTTCTTCTGACTCCAGCACTGCTAGCAGAAGGTGGAAAATGTAAATTTATGATCACAGAAAACTTTCAACTAATCTCACCTTTCTGAGAAGTATACATTTGCAATAATTTTGCAAACACATCTATATCATATATATTCATTTTTTTAAAAATGAGGAAAAAACCCTGAAATTATACATTTTAATTAAACTGCTAGTGCCTATCCTTCAACTAAATTTAAAAGACATTTACCCAATGTCCATAAGCTTAACACATACACACAAATGCACACACACAAACATTTTTATTGTTGCACCACTGTTCATTTCTGCTGAAAGGCATATACCAGCAATGACATGCATCATTATGGACTCTTTGTGATTACACTGAGATCATAAATGGATACTGACGTAAACATTAGTGCAGAACCAGCACTAATTTTCTGTAGTGATGGATAAGGCCTCTGAGGGAACACTAAGTATGCACAGGCAAAATCTGGCTGACAAGTTGAAAGACATAGACTTTAAACAAGAGGGTTGACTATCGACCAAATGAAGAAAACAGAAATACTCAAGATCCATAGTTTTATAAATACAGACAATAATGAGACAGAATAGATAATCTGGTATTCCGAATATTAACTTAGTACTAAAAGAACAACTCTGCAAAAACAAAAAAACAACTTTCTTTTCTAGTTATCTTAGGACTATTCCATTGGCCTTTTCATGACAAAAATGAATTCCGTTTTACTTATTCAACAGAAAATAGCTGTGCTACCAAAGAGAAATATCCAGATAAAATGCAGATATAGACAGACATTCTGCATCAAGAGATGCATATGTATTATACTGCTATGTCTCCAGAGCTAGTTTCTCAATACTAGCACTCCAGATCCCACCTCCATGTTGTCAGGGAGTGGAAGGATAAGCAGAGTAATGTCCAGCTATCTTCTTGTGGTTGGATGTGCTGCGACAGGCATCTTCAGAGTCCTCAGGACAGGAGGTCTCTGAATATGATGCAGCATGGCCACTACAGGAAAATAGATGGGACACTTAACCACTCATCTGGCTTGAATGCTGGTCCAACTTGAACCATCATTCATCGTATGACATCATAACTCATTAACAGGATGCTAGCCAGAATTTCACATTGATACTAAATAGGTGAAATAGGCTTTCAGAAGAGACCAAGCAAGGATTATTCCACATTATTCTGAGGCAGTTATGGAAATCTGAAACCAAAATTTCCAAAATGAAACCGGAACATACAGGGTTATGACACCAGCACTAAAAAGTTGTATGGTATTTTTGTTTGGATTGAACAAAGTATATCAATGAATGTAACAGAAGTCTTGTGTGCCTTAGAATTCCAGTTAGGCTTTATTAATATTAGAGAGGTTTAAATAATTATATGTGTTTCATTAGTAGTGGAGACATGACCATAATACCGTGGTGACTTCTGAATATTTATTTCATCTACTTTTAAGACAAGGGAGAGGAGAACCACCTACAATCATTTAGTTTATCTGTGCTACCTAAGTCTCTGTATCATCAGCCATATATATGATGATATGATCTTCCCACATTCTTTCTCCCATACTTTCAATTTTCAGACTACCAATGTATCCTCTTCACCAACCTTCAGCATTTCATTTGAGAGACCCAGCTGAGACAATCAAGTTGTCCTTATTTTCCAATGCATAATAACGAAGATCACAGTAAAATTAATAACGAGATATTTTGAGGATGTAAGCAGCATAGTTGGACTCTGGCTGGAGACACACGTTTAGGCAAGTTAGGTAATAAGGAAAGCTCCAGGGAGACGCACTGCTTGGGGGAGGACAAAGATAAAAAATAAAGCAGATAGGCACAGGTTTCAGATGAAAAGTATTGGGGGGGGGGCAGTAAGGCACCACAAAAAACAATTCCCCATGTGGTCTACTGAACTATAGATAAAAGTTCATAACTCAATATGTGGATTGCATGCAGAAGGTTTCTGGTTCAAACCTATATCTACAGTCTGAACAGTAGTACAGTCACATTTAATCTGGAAAGTAAGTTACTGCAGAAATTCCTAAGAGGGCAAAGACAAATTCCTATGTTCTTATGACCTTTCTTCTTCAAAGAAGTTACAGGCCCTCTGCCAACTGCCCATGCCATTATGCTTCAATAATAACACAAATGGAGATAGAAGACATTCTGTGTAGTAACATGTCTATGAATCATT